GGGGATGGAGACTCTGCAGCTCCATCTCCTTTCCACCCCCTGAGCCCCCGGGGAGCACAGAAGTGGCAAATGCTTCCCAGGTCCTATGCAGGCAACCGGGAGGGATGTGCGGCTCGTCTGGCTGGGGAGGTGGCACCGTCACCTTGTGGGGATGGGTGGCTGAGACGCCGCTGGCATCGCGGGTGACCCTGAAGGGTCTCGGGAGAGCAAAGGGCTCAGTTCAGTTGTTCTGCTGCTGTTCTGGTGTGTGGTTTGGGGAGGCTCGGGGGCAGGATCACTGGGCGCAGGCGAGCGGGTTCACGGTGTGGGGGGCACCGGACCCCGGGATCTGTTCACTCTTGACACTGATGGGTCCTCACCAGCCCAGGGGTCCCCAGGGGCAGGTGGAGGTGGCCGTAGGCAGTTGGGTTTGCCTTGGCCGGGTGGGCTTGGAGCCGGGACCAGCTCCTGCACCTCCTGCTCCTCCTGCCCTCGTGCGCTGCTCCTGGGCTGATCCGGCATCTTCCAGAGGAGCAGCCTGAGGCCTGAGGCCTCCTCTCGGGGCTGATCTCCCGCACAGGGGCCTTATGTCCTTGTGGCAGACATTCCCATTGGGAACCCACTGTGGGTATCCATGGGAGCCCCCTCCCTGGCCGGCTGGTGACCAGGCCTGTGGCAGAGGCAGGGCGAGGGGCGGCTGCACCGTGTGGCATTGCCGGTCCCGTGTCAGAGGGAGCTCCTCCATCCCGCCGTGACAGGGCAGGTGTGGTGGTGCCGGGTGGAACCCCAGCACCGGGGGGGTTCCCGGGAGAATGGGGGGCTCTGCTCTTGTGCTCTGCTTCGCCCTCAGCAGCTGGGGAGGCTGGGAGCGGGGTGACAGCCTGGCCCTGCTGTCCCCCACCACGACTGCACCAGGGCCGGGGCCTGCCCTGCTCCTCCCAGCCGGCAGAGCCGAGGTGCCGGTGGCGGATCCTGTGGTGCTGCCGAGAGCGGGGTGTCCCTGCGGTGAGGCCGCGGTGGGAGCGAGGCCTCGGAGGCTTCCCCACGGTTCAGCAGCGTCACTCCCCGGGCTGGTGCTTGCAGCGGGCACCGGTCCCTGCAGGGTGACCTTGGGGAGTCACCCTGGCTGTCCTGCCCCGCGCTGGCTCCGTCCCTCCCAGAGCCGAGAGACTTGAAACCCATTGGGGAAGAGGCGCTGCCCGTGTTTTGATGCTGGATGGGGTGGGAGAGATCCCTGCCCAGCGGGGAGGAGCCGCGGGCAGAGCCACGGCATCGCTGGGGCTACAACTGCTCAGAAACAGCATCAGCTCCAGGCAGGGCTGAGCGCCGGGCCCTGCGCAGCCCGCTCTGCTCCTGCACGGTCAGGACATGTGTCCATCTCTGCCACGCTGCCCTGCCTTGAAAAAAATAGTACGTTTATCTAGTAATGGTAATGGAGCATGGACCCAGCCGTGTTTCCCCTGCAAAACCCATTTTCCCATCTTAAGATAAAATCATTACCCATCTGCATGTGTGACATCATTTCATAATCGGAGCCGTTCAGCGTTTCTGTCTCCTCACGGACACAGCTCTGCGATTACTCATGCAAAATTCAGGGGCAGACTTGCTCCAGGAATGAAAGTTGCTATTTATTTGCACAACTATTAAATTATTAGGAAGCAGCCTGGGTGGCTGGTTGAGATCCTGAGCTGCAAATGTGGTAACAGAGACCTTGTAAATTGCGTGCTGAAGTAGATGGTGTCGCGCTGAGCCCCCTCCTTTGGTGCCGCGCTCAGTTCTCCTCTCTGCTGCTTCTGGTCTTTATCCACAGGAAGAAAAGCCCAGATACCCTTGACTTTCTCCTTATTTCTGTTGGTGTTTCTGCAATGGGGGTATCGCTCTTGACCCAGGGCACGTTGCTGGTCTGGCTCCTGTCCTTACTGGGGAGCCAGGACCCAGCGGCGTCCCCGGGGGAGCGGGTGCTTCCTGAGGGCACGAGCCGGGGCAGCAGGGAGAGGGTTGTGTGATCCCGGGAGGAGAAGCCGGGCTGGAGGCAGCAGTGACGCCGTCAGCCGTGCACAGCCCGTGGGTCAGTGGTGGTGGTGGTGCCAGGCTCCCCGTGACCATGGCAGGGTTGCCCAATATGGCTCCGCCAGTGTCCCCTCGTGGCACCCCCAGCTCTCCACCAGGTGTGGGGTTGGGGCTGAGCCGTGGGGTTTTGCTGCTGGTGAATTCCCGTTGCAAGAGCTGGTCCTGCGGCTGAATTGGGAGTGAAGCCGGGCCTGGAACTCGTGTCCCTGTTGCTGCTTGGCCAGAGCCTTTCTCATCCTGAGCTGAAAAGGTTTCTGGGGCTTTGCTGCTGCCTGGGTGGTGCCACCACTGGGCTCCTGAGCAGAGGGACTCTGGTGACTGGCTGCTGTTGCTCCTGACGTGTCCAGCCGCTGGTCCCCACGTTACTGTCCCCTCTGGTGGGGGAGTCAGGGAGCTGGGACCCCCCCCCCCGTGGTGTCAGTGTGGGGCAGCCAGGCTGGGAGCCACTGCTTGGTCACCAGGGAAGGAAAGCTGTGACTGACCATCTGGGGGGACTGGGACAGTTTGGGTCATTGAGCAGTTCAGGAAGCATTTATCTCCCCTCCCCTCCTCAGGGAACGCGGGTAAAAGGCTTTTCCAGGGGGGAGCAGCACCAGTTGTTCATCCCAACTGGCTGTGCTGGGACGCAGGGGTACAGGTGCCACATTGGGCACTGCACCTCTCGCTTGCTGGGCTCGGGCAAACTCCTGCCGTTGGCTTCTTAACCCACTTCTAAGAGTGACCTCGTTTTTGGAATACGAGTATTTAGTGCAAATTTGCAAAGCGCCAACCCTGCGCCGATCCCGCACCGTCCCACCCACCGGGCAGCCCCGTGTTTGCAGCTGGGGCCCTGGTCTGGGCCGAGGGGCTCAGCCCTCGGGGACACCCCCTGCAGAGCGGGGTCTCGGGGAGCATCGTCCGCTGTGGAGGGGAGGGACGTGTTGCACCGAGCGCACGGATGCGGCTGGATCGTCCCCGGCAGCTCCCGGTGCTCTGTGTGCCAGGGATGGAGCTGAGCAGGGATGTCCCTCATGTCCTGAGGCTGTGGCCCCACCGGGTGGGTTGGGGGGGGTTCTCCTGGCCCCATCCCAGGTGGTAGCAGCGGGTGGACGGGGAGGACTGGACATTAGGATTGCCCCATCCTTCTCCAGCCTCGGGGTTTGGGAGGCGATGGGGAGGCGGCAGCTCTGGGGGGGTACATGACACGGGGTTTTGGGGCCAGGAGCTTGGTGGGGTCCCTGGGACTTGATGGGGCGTGCTCAGCTCTGACCCTACTCCCGCCCAGGACCTGGGGGGGTGGCACCGTGGTGCTGGGCTTTGGGTGGCTGATGGAGCAGGAGCTGAGCCCCCGCTCGCAGAGGCTTCAGCATCTTCTGTCACCGTCGCTGTCGTTCAAGTGGGTCAGAAGCACGGGAGCGGGTGCCGAGGATCCTAATTAATTTATTTTCAGATATTTTTAGTAGCCTGCATTGGGTCTTTTTTTCTATGCACACACTGCCCTCCCAGGAAGAAAGCGTTGTTATCGCACCCGGCTCCCGAAGAGGCCGCACGGAGTCAGCGTGTGCTGGGGGGACCGGGAGCAGTTTATCTTTCTCAGCAGGACGAGCTCTGCCCTGGCTCAGCCAGATTGCAAAGGGATTTGAGCCAGAGGAGAGTTTTGCCCAGCTGGCATGGTTATTTAATCTTTGTTCTTCGCAGCTTTGCGTGGCTGATGCCCCCATGGGACTCGCTTTGTGCGGCAGGGCCGGTGCGGGGGAGCGGGAGCTGCTGGGGGGGTCTTGGGGGCAGATCCAGCCCGGTGCTGCCACCGGGGGCTGCCCCAGCCCTGGCAGGGTCTCTGAGGGGTCGTGCCGTGCAGCTGGACCCCCAGGGGTCCGGCAGGGCCCACCATGGCTGCAGTCTCACTACCCTGGGGGGGGTTGCAGGGTGCTGGAGCCGTTTGGTGCCGGTGGTTGGAGCTGGCCCGGGGGAGCACAGCCCCCTCCTCCCGGCTGTCAGCTGGGGAGGGTACCCTGGAGACGGCCCTGGGTGTGAAGTCATCGTTGTGCAGCAGTGACATCACTCACGGTTGCCGTGGCAACGTCTCACATGGGGAAGGTGTCATTGGAGAAAGGTCAGGAGCTGGGATGCTCGGCTCCTTCTGGTCCTGCGCTAATCTGCACAGCACGGGGGGGGATCCGGTTCATTTCTCCTCCCTGTGTGGGGGGGTCCTGCCCCCCTCGTCCCCCTATCCCTGGCAGCGTGGCCAGGACAACCCCCCCATCAGCCCGCAGCTCCCGGGGGGTTCTGCCTGGGGGGGGGCAGGGTAAGGGGGGTGGCGACGTGTGGGCGAGGGTCCTGCATGTCTGTGCCCATGGCACTGAGGGGTGTCCCCCCTCCTGCCCCCCAGGCCAGTGCCGGGCCGTGGGGCAGGCAGGGACCGAGGGCACAGCGTCCCCTCCACACGGCAGTGCCGGGACCAGGCTGCGGTGACCTTGCAGGCGCTGGGAAAGGTCATCGGTGGCCCAGGAGACGGGGACAAGAAGAAAGGAGAGAAGGATGAGGGAGAGGCAGGAGAGGGCGGAGGAGCCCGGGCAGAGGCCTCCATCGCTGCCTCCGCCGTCTGACCGGGGCTGGGGCGATGCCGGCTCCAGCTGCAGCCGTACGTGACCGGGAGCTGCCGCGGCTCCTGCCACCGCGGCTCCTGCCACCGCGGCCGTGCTGCCGGCACCCGCCCTGCAGCCCCTGCCCTGCGCCCCCCGAGACTGGGACCACAGCCTGGTCCGGAGGGGTGGCCCCATCTATCCCGGGGGACACTGTCCCCCATCCTGGGGTCCCCTCTCTGGGAGCGGGGATTGGGGGGAAGGCTGGACTTTCCCATCCTGCTGCCACCCGTGACCAGAGAGCGTGATGGCCCCACCATTTGGGGGTTGGTGGTCGCTGTGGCCGGCGGTTTGGGGGTGAGGGTGGTCCCCAGCCCGGGGGCTGCCCCAGGGTGGCTCAGTGTGAGGGTCTCCCCTACCAGCACCTCATCATTCCCCCTCACACAGGCCCTGCCTGGGTTTGGGTGCTCCGGGCAGAGCTCCGGCCATCCCCGCATCGCAGGAAGAGCCCTGGCAGCCCCCAGACTCATCCTGCAGCCCCTCTGCCTGCACAGCCCCACCTCGACCAGGGACCACAGCAACCTGCAGGATTGGGCCCGGGGGTAGTTTGGAGAGGGGGGAGCAGGTTGTGGTCCCTGTGGAGGGGACAGGGGTGCCTGTGGCCAAGGTGACATCAGAGCGACAGCACCCCAGTAGTGCAGGTCCCTTAGGGCAGGGCACAAGGGCTGGATCCTCTCGACACGGGGTTGACTCAGGACACCAGTGACTCCCTCCTCTGTCCTCTTGCTCCCTAGGTTTTACTGGGACTTCACAATGCTGCTCTTCATGGTGGGCAACCTGATCATCATTCCTGTGGGCATCACCTTCTTCAAGGAGGAGACCACGGCACCCTGGATCGTGTTCAACGTGGTCTCTGACACCTTCTTCCTGATGGACCTGGTACTGAACTTCCGGACAGGGATTGTCATTGAGGATAACACGGAAATCATCCTGGACCCCGAGAGGATCAAGAAGAAGTACCTCAAGACCTGGTTTGTGGTGGACTTTGTCTCCTCCATCCCTGTGGACTACGTCTTCCTCATCGTGGAGAAGGGCATAGACTCGGAGGTGTACAAGACGGCCCGTGCCCTCCGCATCGTCCGCTTCACCAAGATCCTCAGCCTCCTGCGGCTCCTCCGCCTCTCCCGGCTCATCCGCTACATCCACCAGTGGGAGGAGGTGAGGGTCCCGCGGGACGCAGCCCCCACAGGGGGTCCCTTCTCTGGCAGTGGCAGCACCAGCCAGAGAGAGCAGCAACTGGGGGGGCCCCGCGAGGTCACTGGGGTCTGGGGGCTGCCTGAAGGGCAGGGGTTGGACGGGGTCTGTGGGTGGCTGTGACCCTCCTTGGGAGGGAGGCTCTAGCCATCCCCCACCTTCCCCTCAGCTCTGTCCCCAGGGGGACATAAGGGTGGTCCTGAACTGCTTCTGCGCCAAGGCTGTTCCATTTGGGGCCAACTGAGCCACAGCTGAGCAGTGCCCCGTGTGTGTGAGCACAAGTGTGTGTGCACAAGTGTGTGTGTCCGTTCGGGTGCTGGTGTTTGCCCAGCTGGCCCCGGTGCCATGGTTCGGCACCACCCGGGGGGACAGCGTGGCCGCCACAAGCAGCCATGCTGCGCCGGCAGCTCGACCGTGTCCCCATGTGCGGGGGCAGGTGACAGTCCTTTGTCCCTGGTCCCCTCCATCTCCCTGCTCCATGGGGACCTCGGGAGCACGGGGGTGTCTGCAAGGAGCCCCAGCCCCTCGGGGGCAGGAGGCAGGGTGCTGCCCCGGGGCTGTGGGGGCTGGGAGGGGTCCAGACGTGGTGTGCTCGGCTTTGCTGCGTGGCTCCGGTGTGTGGGCTGGCGGCTGCGCCGGCTGCGGCTCTGCAGGTGCTCGCTGCAGCGGGGCTGGAGGGATGCGAGGGCCTCCGCTCCTTCCTCATCCTCCCCCTCCCCGTGTCCCCAGGCACGGTGGGAGCACGCGTGGCTCTCAACTGGGTGTCCTCCCCCCTCCCCGTGCGGGCTCCTCAGGCGAGCGGCGCTGCAGGGACCGCAGTGCAGCCTGGGCACGGTGACACGGGCTGTGACGGCTGAGGGATGGCGACAGACCCTCCTTCCCGCGCCTCCCCCACGCAGAGGCGGCCGCTCCGCCAGCTGGGGTGGGCGCTGGGGGGTCTGTGCCCGGCGGCCCCCGCACAGCACGGCCTGGTTCTGTCGTGGCTCCGTGTCCTGGCCTGACCCTGCAACGGGGAATGGCCCAACGAGCCACACGTGGCTCTTCCCGCAGCTCCAGGGGGGCTCATCCCCCCCCAGCGCGAACAGGGCTCAGCCTAGCTCTCCCAGCAGAGCCCCCCACCCTCCCAGTGCTGCAGGGGGGCTGCCCCTGGTCCTTGGGGCGGGGGGGCATGGCTGCAGCTCCAGTCAGTCTGCCCGCATCCTCCCTGCCCGCATCCCCCCACCCATCCTCTCCTTGCTGGGCTCTGCTGTGGGACCGTCCTGTGCCTCCTGCGACCCCCCCCCCCATCCCAAAGCGTGTCTGTCTGCCCCCGCCAGGGCTCCCGCTCTTCGTCCTTTTCACTTTCAGATGGGACTTAGCAGGGAGAGCCCCGGGGACGAGTTAAACCCCTGCGTGGCTCTGCAGATTATCCTGGTAATCGCATCTGCTGACAGGGCTCAGGAGGGGAGCGCGGCCCCGATCCCCACCGGGACCTCACGAGCTCTCGGAGGCAGGGGCCGGGGATGGCAGATGCGGCTGGAGCAGCTCTGGGGGGGCAGCCAGGGGCTGAATTTTGCCCCCAGCAGCCTCGGCAGCAGCTGGGAGAGGGGCAGCGAGGGGCTGGCAGAGATGGGGATGGGGCTGCTCCTGCCTGTCCTCGCCCTGGGCTGCCCCTTCCCCAGCCCCTCGCCCTCCACCCTGTTCCCTCCCCATCGCACCGGCTCTGCCTCGTGCTGCCTGCGCCGCGTGCCCTCCCTGTGCCGGCGCCACGGACCCCAGGCAGGGGACGGAGGGGGGGGGGGACGCTGTGCCCCTGCCCCTGCCCCTGCCCTGCGGCTGCTCCCGGCGATGCCCTACGGCTCCAGCCTTGGATCTGCAGCACGGGGGAGGCTGGGAGTTTCGCTGCCAGGGGATTAATTTCTTATTGTCTTTATTTTTTCCCCACCTTGAATTAACCTTTTCTGGACCCTAAATATTAAAGGAAAAGGAACAAGTCCTCAGCCCCTGGCTCAGTTTGCAACCAGGAGGACACGTCTCTGCCCTCGGGGTCAGCCTGTGTGGGTGCCCCGGCGCGAGAGGCTGGGACCGGAGACATGGCCAGGGGGAAGCCCTGCTCTCCCGGGAGCTGTGGGCTGGTGCTGGGAGTGAGGGGGCTGCTCAGAGCACTGTCCTGCTGCCCCTCCATGGCATGGCTCTGGTCCCAGGACCACCACGGTGGGTCCCAGTGGTCATGTCTCCCTCCTGTGCCCACCCTGGGGCAGGGGGCTCTCCCGGGGGTCTCAGTGTTTGATGCTCTCGATCCCAGCCCACTGAGGTGGGATCTCTGGGAAGAACGCGGGGAGATGCCCTGGCCACTCTCCACAGTTTGGGTCCTCCTTCAGCTGACCCCAATGTGGGCACCTCGGACCCTCTTTACCCAAAGCCGCTCCATGGCTGAGCCTGGATGGGGGGTCCCAGGGGCTGCCCTGCTCCCTCCCCGGTGCCCAGAACACTTGGCTCCCTGAGCATCCACTGGCGCTGGCTTTTCCTCGTCAGAGCTCGCAGCCATTAGCGCTCTCTGGGCGGCAGCATGGCGGCGTCCCGCGGGCTATAAATAGGCAGGTGGATGGAGCGCAGCCGCCTTGGGGAGGGCTGGGGACGGGGCGGCCACGAGCGGCTCCTTCGGTGGGGACGTGGGGGTCAGGCCGGGGGACAATGGTCCCTGTGCTCACCCTCTGCTCATCCCACCCACAGATTTTCCACATGACGTACGACCTGGCCAGCGCCGTGATGAGGATCATCAACCTCATCGGGATGATGCTGCTGCTCTGCCACTGGGACGGCTGCCTCCAGTTCCTGGTGCCCATGCTGCAGGACTTCCCCCAGAACTGCTGGGTCTCCATCAACGGGATGGTGGTGAGTGCTGGCCCCAGCCCCGCCGTGCTCCCCTCCCCGTGCCCTCCGGCCTCTCCACTCACCCCGGGAGATGCCATCCCACCCCACACTGACCGGTGCCCCGTGGTGCTGCCGACAGCCTCCCTGGTGAGGTCTCGCAGGACCTGGATCAATCCTGGTGGGAGGAAGATGCTGACACAGCTCTCTGCCCCGTCCCTTGCGCCTTCTCCTTGCTCATTAACAACAAAGCTGCTATTAATAAATAATGGGCCACGTTTCTAATTGCTCCCTCTCAGCCTTGCAGTCTGCTACTAATGGCTCTTCTCCCTCCCTCCGTCTCATCCCGTTCTGCCAGTGTTTCCACCTCTGCTCCGTTCCTCCTCTTCCTCTCCTCCCCATCTCCTGCTCCTCCATCCCTGGCTGCTTCACTCCCGGGGGGCACTGGGGGCTGTGTGCAGGGCTGGGCCAGGGGGTTCCCGCTGTCCCTGCAGCCACCGCAGGCTCCCGAGCACAACTACTGCAGGAACTCAGTGGCTTCCATCAACTCCCAGCTGGTTCCCATCACAGCATTTCACAGGGGCTCCCCGCGCTTTTGCAGATCGACACTAAAAAAAATAAACTCCACTGACTGACCACCCAAGGGGAGGGTGGGGGGGAGGGAGGGAGGGAGGCAGTGAGGTGCAGAATCCCGCCAGGAAGGAGCACAGAATCATAGAATTGCCCAGGCTGAAAGGATCTTTTAGATCATCTCGTCCAACCATCAACCCGACAGGATGAGCCGAGCGCTGCAGGGTTGGTTTGGATCTCACCCAAAAACAAACAAACAAACAAACAGGTCTGGTCACTGTCGGGAGATGCAGGCGGAGAACCTGGATTGTCCTCCAGGCCAGAGCTGGGGATGCTGTCCCCACATGTGCCTGTGCACACACACACACATGCACACGCGTGTGCAAGCCACTGTGTACCAGCCGGGGCTGAACGCCGCTGCCCTCCCTGTCGCTGCAGAACGACTCCTGGAGTGAGCTCTACTCCTTCGCCCTCTTCAAGTCCATGAGCCACATGCTCTGCATCGGCTACGGGAAGCAGGCGCCCGAGAGCATGACGGACATCTGGCTGACGATGCTGAGCATGATCGTGGGGGCCACCTGCTACGCCATGTTCATCGGCCACGCCACCGCCCTCATCCAGTCGCTGGACTCCTCCCGGCGCCAGTACCAGGAGAAGGTAGGCCTGGGCTGGACGGGGACAACACCTCTGGTCCCGCACCCGGCCATCGCGTCCCCTCCTGGGGACACAGCGACAGCCGGGCGGGATGAGGGCTCCCTGTCAGTACCATCTGTGGGGTAGGGATGGGGCGATGGAGAAGGATCAGCCCCATGGAGCCAGGGTTTGGGGGGGTCCCAGCCCTGCAGCCCCCCAGTCTGGGGTCTGACAGCACCTCTCCCCACAGTACAAGCAGGTGGAGCAGTACATGTCCTTCCACAAGCTGCCCGCCGATTTCCGCCAGAAGATCCACGACTACTACGAGCATCGCTACCAGGGCAAGATGTTTGATGAGGACAGCATCCTGGGGGAGCTCAACGAGCCCCTGCGCGAGGTCAGGGCCCCTGGGGCTGGAGAGCCGGGTGTGAGATGCCACAGGGAGGAGGGGGACTGTCCCCCTCAGGGACATGTCCCCCTCAGGGGCATGTCCCTGCCTCCTGGTCCCTCACCCCCTTCCCCTGCAGGAAATCGTGAACTTCAACTGCCGCAAGCTGGTGGCCTCAATGCCGCTGTTCGCCAACGCCGATCCCAACTTTGTCACAGCGATGCTCACCAAGCTGAAGTTTGAGGTGTTTCAGCCGGGTGACTACATCATCCGTGAGGGCACCATTGGCAAGAAGATGTACTTCATCCAGCACGGGGTGGTCAGCATCCTCACCAAGGGCAACAAGGAGATGAAACTCTCTGATGGCTCCTACTTTGGGGGTGGGTGCTGGTGGGACCCCAGGTCCCCTCCCAGGGACTGCAAGAGGCACTGGGACACCCATGGTGGTTCTCACCCCTTTCTCCTGGTCTGTCCCCCCTCCCCCTTTCCAGTCCTCCTTGGTGGTGTTTTGACCTTTCTGTTTTCCCCCAGAAATCTGCCTGCTGACCCGTGGCCGGCGCACGGCCAGCGTCCGGGCAGACACCTACTGCCGCCTCTACTCGCTCTCGGTGGACAACTTCAATGAGGTGCTGGAGGAGTACCCCATGATGAGACGAGCCTTTGAGACTGTGGCCATCGACCGCCTCGACCGCATCGGTAGGACACAGGGGGCTTGGGGGGAGGCGGAGGGGGCTGTCCCGGCAGCCATGGCTGGGGTGGGGGGGCCCAGCATAGCCCCCAGCGCAGGATCTCACAGTGCTCCCCATCCCACCCCTGCAGGGAAGAAGAACTCGATCCTGCTCCACAAAGTGCAGCACGACCTCAACTCGGGCGTCTTCAACAACCAGGAGAACGAAATCATCCAGGAGATCGTCAAGTACGACCGGGAGATGGTGCAGCAGGCGGAGCTGCAGCAGCACACGGCCATGTACAGCCCCGTCCAGCCCCAGGTCACCTCCGCCATCGCCACCCTCCAGCAAGCCGTCGCCATGAGCTTCTGCCCGCAGATGGCCAGCCCGCTGGTGGGCTCCATGGCCCTGGGCTCGCCCCGCATGATGCGCCGCTTGCAGTACGCCCAGGCCGTGCCCAGCCCCTTCGCCGTCTCCCCCGTCCTGCTGCAGCAGAGCCCCCCGCAGCAGCCGCAGCCCCCCGTGCCCCACGCCAACCCCTCGCCCTCGCAGGACCAGGCGCAGCCCACGGCCCTGCCCGCCTCCACCAGCGCCTTCGCCGCGGCCGCCGCCAGCCCGCCGTCCCAAAGCCCCCTGGCCAGCCGGACGTTCGCCTACGGGGGGGCCCCGGGCCAGCTGGGCTCCCAGCTCTCCCTCAGCCAGCAGCCGGCGCCCGGCTCGCCCCAGCGCCTGGCCGCCCACAAAAGCACACAGGCGCTGCCCACCAGCAGCCTCAGCCAGGATTCGCGGCCCCTCTCGGCCTCCCAGCCCTCCCTGCCCCACGGGCTGGCGGGGGGCAGCACCCAGAGCCCCCCGGCCTCGGCCCGCGAGTCCTGCTCCTCCATTGGCGGGGGCCCGGCCGCCGCCTCGCCAGGCCCTGGCCCCCCCACCGGGCTGCGGGGCCCGGCGCCATCGCGGGGGGCTGCGGCTCACCCAGCCCCGGGGGGCTCGCTGCACGCGGGGCCACCCACCCTGCCGCAGGACTCGGCGGCCACCCGCAAGGATTCGGTGGCCAGCACGCCCGACACGGACCCGGCCAAGTCCAGGCTGTCTTCCAACTTGTGACCTCCACGCTGCACCGAGTGGGGGGACGAGGGCGGCGGAGGGGGCCACCACGGCCAGGCCCGGCTCGCCCCCTGCCCAACCCTCTGAGGAGCCCTGGGGGAGGGCTGCGGCTGCCTCCCCCCACTCCCTGGCTTCCCCCGCCACACGCTGCGGAGCGGGGTGGCTGCTGGGGGTGGGCACGGGGCCTCTGTGCCCCCCACCCACCGCAGGGGCACGGCGGGGTCCGGGCTGAGCCCCCACCGGCATTGCCTCCAACCAAAGTCTGGCCCCATCGCCTGCTCTCCATGGCGAAGCCCCGCTGCCCCCAGCCCCTCCCCGGCTGCCCCATAGAAGCCACAGCTGCATCATCCCCGTGATCAACTCTGTATATGATATTTATGACCTGAAAACACCCCTGTGTGTGTGCATCCGCAGGACACCTCCCCGGGGCGCTAGGCGTGCGTGCCCCTGCCTCCCCTCCCACAGACCCCGGGCAAGGGGTGACGGCCCAGGACTGGAGGTAAGTGGGGGGGTCTGAGGGATGGTGGCCCTGAGGCTCGCGAGCGCCCTGCGCACACGCTGTCCCCCAGCCCGACCCCGGGGCTGGGGGGGAAACGCAGCCCCGCTCCCCCGTAGTCAGTGTTAGAAGGGAGCAGACACTGGAGCCTGGGGGTGTCCCACGGCGGGGGCTGCCCCACAGGAGCTCCTGGCTTTGAGGCTGGGGAGGGCACATGCTGTGTAGCAGCATCACTGGGGGGGTGTGTGTGCACACACCTGGGGACACACGTGTGTGCAGGGGGGGTTACACGCTTGCCGCTCTGCCTAGCGCTCCGGAGCCTTCCACGCTGAATGTAAGCGGCGAGCGAGGGGCCCGCGCCAGCCCGGCGGGACAGGGCCCCGCTCCAAGCGCCCACCTTTCCATCCAGCCCATCCTGTGCAATAAACGTCAGCAGCTGACAGAGCTACGCACGACTCCGTCTCTGCTTCTTTGCCACCCTCCCTCCCTCCCTGCCGCGGCTCCGGCTGCTCCCGCTCCCATGGCCCAGCCACTGGGCATGGCCCCAGGCACGACACGGGAGCCAGCTCCTCCTTTGAAGAGCTGCTTCCCTGCCAGAAACATGCCAAGGTGAAGAGCCTCCTCCCAGAGCCTGTCCCTTGCTGGCAGCGCCGTGTCCCGGCTCCGGCTCAGCGAGGAAGGAGCAGGGAGCAGCTGGGGAGTGGAGGCAGGGGGTACGGGGCTGGGAGGAAGGCTCAGCTCCAGCCACAAGATCAGGGAAGAGCGGTTGCTGCAGGAGCAGCCCCGGGGACAGGAGGGCTGGGAGCTCTGGGCTGGAAACGCAAGGGCTGGGCCGTCAGCCCCGCTCCCGCTGCATCCGCCACCCTGGGCTGGGGGAAAGTTTTGAATCCGTTTTCACAACAAAAGCATTTCCAGCATATCTATTCCCTGTGAATAACCAAAGCCCCAGCAGTCAACAAAACAGCAGCAGTCACGGGAAACATCAGTCCCACCTCCCCAGGACCCCCAGGAGAGCCCGGGCACCTCACAGAGCTCGGGCAAAGATGCTGAGAAGGACTCAGGTCCCAGCTAGTATTTCAAAAAACATTTTATTTACAGTATCGTACACCTCCACCCCCAGGTAAGTGGTTTTCTCCACCTGAGACCCAGTGAACAGAATTGAAACAAATCCCTGGAAATAGAGCGAGAAGCCGCAGAGGCTGTGGTGATGGTGCCCAGGAGCTGGGGGATGGCACGGAGGACAGCGCCTGCCCCACAGCAGGGCAGGACAGGGCCCTGGAGACTCTGCTGGGACCACACGGGGGCTGTTTGCCCCTCCAGGCAGGGACCCAGCACTGAGGGGTCTGAGCCCCACCGGTGGAGGAGCACAGAGAGGGACTGCAGCCCAGGATAGGCACTGGAGCTGGCAGCGGTGGCAGGCACATCTCCTGTGCCAGGGTGAGGACCGAGGGGAGCCAGCCCCATCTACCACCACCCCTTCAGCCCCACACCAGAGATGCAGCCCCCCCTGAAGCCCTCTCCCCGTGCAGTAACAGCAAACAGTGCAGATACCCTGTCCCCCACCGGCCCCTCGTGGCTCCTGGAGGAGTCCCAGTCTGGCCCAGTGTCTGGGCGTTGGGCCGGTATCTTTTGCTGTACCCACTTTCCCCACAAGACGTGGGACAGAGGAGCCTCGCGGGCCAGTGCCTACCACAGCCTCAAGGCAACCAGTAGTCCAGAGGTAGTCCAGGGCCCCCGCTGGCTGCTAGGACTCAGCTGAAGAAATAGGTGGAATCCATCACCTTCTTGAGGTTGAATTCGCCTGGGGGAAGCGATGGAGAGATGTCAGAGGAGAGCAGGGCACGGCGGGGAGGAGACGGGGCACCGGGGGTAGAAGCTGCCCCGAGCCCCGCTTCAGCTCAGCCCCTGCACAGCGTGGGTCAGGGCAGCAGGGAGCTGAGAGGTCCTCCAGGAGCTGATGTCCCTCCAAATTCATCTGGGACGGAGGCAGAAGAGCACTAGAGCAGCAAGGCAGGGAAGGGAGAGAGGGGCACACGGCCCCAGGGTCGAACCATCCCTGCCTCTGGGGCTGCCCACGGCAGCTGCTCCACAGCAGCGGAGCGCTGCTCTGTTCCCTTTGGCAAAGGCAGGACAAAGGTTGGCCAGATGGTCTGGCAGAGGCAGGGCCAAGAGATTAGAAGGAGTTAAACTAATTGCCTTAATCCCATTGCATGTAATATCATCTAGATCCCGGCAATTACCGTGCCGAGCGCCTCGCTCCCATCTCCGGGCAAATGCTTCGTGGTTGGAAACAGATGGGAGAGGAAGAACAAGACAGGGACGGGATGAGCTGGGTCAATGCGGGGAAAATCCCAGGGGCTCAGCTCCAGGGGAACAACCCCACGGCTCTGCAGGAAACCCCCATCTCAGGGGACAGCACGGTGGGCCAGACCCTCACTACGGCCAACCTCAGACACTGCATGAGCTTGGTGGTTTTGGGGGCCATTCTCCATCTCCCTCCCCATCTTCAAACTGCTCCCCAGCTTTGCAGTTCCCGTCCCATGCTCCTACCTGTCTTGGGGACACTCGAGAGCTGCTCCATCAGCTTCTTCTGCCAGAGGGCTCTGGTCTCTCTGCCGGGGCTGGATGAACCAGAAGGAAAGCAAATCAGCATGGGAGCTGTGGGAGAAGGTACACCCTCCCCTGCTCCCCCATGCAGGCCCCTGCGACAGCCTTCAGCTCTTCAAAACACATCACCCATCCCTCGCTCATGGGGGGAACCCATGGCACAGACATTACGGCTCAGCCCAGGCCCACCAAGTGATTCCAGCCCCAAACCCTACTTCAGTTCTGCAGCAAAAGGATGGGGACACCTCGTTTGTCACACTGAGCATCGGGGCACATCCAGCCCCAGGAGAAGGGGTGGGTGCAGGCTGGAAGGAGCGTGACAGGGTGGGAATACCTGCAGTACTTCTCCAGCATGAACTCGGACAGATCCTGCAGGATCTTCTCACTGTGCAGAGCTACAAACTGCTGCCGACAGACCTGACCCAGGGAGCAATGGTGAGTCGCAGGTTAAACAGATGTTTTCCCCTCCTTCCCCTCAGTGCTTCTCAGCCAAGACAGGTCAGAGGTGAGGAGGGGAAGCAGCAGGCAAGAGCGGGAAGCAGAGGCTGCTGGACAAGGGTGAGGGGAGGTGGGAAGCAGAAGCTGGCCCCTATTTATCAGTCTATGGTACAACAAGCCCTCAGAGCAGGGAAAGAGCCCAGGGCTGCACAGAGGCACCGGCTCTGGTAGGTGCTGTGTTTAGCGCTGATTTAGGGGCGCAGATTGTCCCTCACACCCTCCTTGATGGGTTTATGGCACCAGGAAATCAGCTGCAAACACCAGCAAGGATCCCAGGTTCACCTCTCCCGGGTAAATAAATCAGCCCATGGAGCAAAGCCCAGGGGAGGCAAGGGCTGGCAAGCACCCAGAGGACAGATCAGCAAGATCCTGGCTCACAAGGGACCTGGGAGGACACTTTTACCTGGTTCATGACGTCCACGGTGAGCGCGTGAGTCCAGTAGCAATCGTGGACTGAGACGAAGGTCAGACCCTGCCTGGGAAGCAGCAGAAGGTGCCATGAAGTGGTGCTGGGAGTCCCTTCTCCGCAGGGTTCCCTGCCCCATGCAGACCTTCTGGCTGGGAGATACCCAGGGACCAGGCAAGGAGGGGGAGTCCCGGCGCCTGCAGAACCTGAGCGTCCCTACCTGAGGCAGTGCAGAGCCGTGAGCATCATGTGCGTGGAGTCCAGGGAGTGGATGAAGTTGGGGGGGAAGGCATTCTTCTGCTTCACTGTATCAGGCTTCCTGCAGCACAGAGGGGGAGATGGGAGGAGCTGGGACCCTTCCAGGGCCAAAGATGACAGCACCAGCACTGAGCCAGTGCCGGCTAAGAGCTGGGGTTGATGGGGGCAGCTCTGGAGGACCCCAGGGCCCTTCCTCCAGCTGCCTTTCTGCAGCTCAGGGGGACACCAGGAGCTTTGCACACATTGGTGGGTTCCACTGATGGAACTTTGTCCCCAGAGCACAGGCTGGGGACAGTAGGGGCTGAGTAAAGACCATAGTTTCACACTTACTGGTTGTTGTTGGAGTTTTTCACACTCAGGTTCTGCATGCCACAGTTCAGCTGTGGGGAGAGAGCAGGGGGATCAGCTGCTGCACAGCACTGCCCGGCCTGCACGAGGCGTTCAGCGCCGTCCCGTCCTTCTGAGAGGGGACAGTGCTGGCCACAAGCGACTCTGCTCCGGAGGAAACGTCCCAGCCTGCAAGAGGGGCCTGGGCAGGGACCTTTCCAGGGCATCCCAGCCACCATGGCAGCTGTCACTCTTGGGTGACACCTTGCTGCTCCCCCTCCCGAGGACGCCTGCAGACATCCTTCGCCCCTTCCCAGTGAGGCGCTGATTCAGCCCTGCAAGGGCTAAGAGAAGGGCTCCTGGAGGTGAGCGGCTGCGAGGACGCGACAGGCTGGGGAGCTGTGAGTCAGTGCAGCAGCGCGTGGGAGGCGAGAGCAGCGAGACTGAATCACGCGAGCCCCGAGGAAGGCTCCTGGGTGTGGGGAAGGGGCCCGTGCCCCAGCTGCCTGAGTGGGACGGGAGCCGCAGCGCTTCCTCACGAGCCC